TCGGTCAGGTAGCAATCCTGGTTTTGAAGGCATTTGCTTATAGCATTAATGACACGATCAATTTTGCAATGTGCAAGTTTCATGTCAGGGCAGGAAGAGAAAGGTGTTATAACACACAACAGAATTTAGAAGCATCACATTTGTTTTCCACCTCTACTTAGACCTTCTCATATGGCACGGGAGCTCCTACCCAGATATCCTACTCCTAAGTGAATGCAGTAAAATTAGTTCTGATTGCTCCCCTCCTGTGAAACGCGACTGACTCACTTTTCTCCCTTCCTACCTGCTTTTCTCATGTCAAATTTATGTTAGCTCTCAGGCAGCTGCTTTCTTCCTTGACAAAGGCAGCTTCCTTTTGAGGGACAGAACAGCAAGGGACACCAACTACTAGTTAACTGGAGCTGTGTGAGAAGGTGACACATGCTGCAGAGCTCAGAATACTATGTATGAGGAAGGATGTTGCATATTGGTCTTACATAGAGAGGCACAAAAGAGGAAATGTGAGAGGAACAAAAGAAACGTCAAAGCTGTCACCATTCCCAGAAAGAGGAAAGAGAATTAAAAAAGAGATGTCTGATTCAACGTGGACTTGAGGAAGTTGGCTTTGTCTGCAAGGACAAGATTTGGACAAGATGTGAGGACAGTGAGGAGCTAGAAGAAAAGCAAGTGCCACAAGAGAAATGCAGAGCAATAGGTGATCTCAGCAGGAACATTCTGGGTAGGCTCAAGGTGGGTATTTAGATGGAAGAGGGTGGTGTATTTGAGGTAGGAATGAACTGAGCATGGAATAATGATCATTAGGAAAGGAAGGAGCTGAGTACTCAAAGTTTGAAGGATCAGAAACATAATTTCATATAAATTGGATATAAGAGAAGCAAAAGTAAAATCTGGCGGGTCATCATGTTACGTGTGGGCAAGAGGAATGTTGGAGGTGTAAACAAGCACACCTGGAGTAGTGGAAAGGGGTATCAATTAAAAAAGTATCCCAACTCCCTCGTGTGTTGCGGCTATTTTGCAATATTCCAGCAGTCCTCAATGGTCATGCCGCCTCCTCCTTTGCCCTGTAATCTGGCCACTTTGCATACCTCTGCTGGCTGCCTGATCGCGTCGGCAGCATGAATGAGTAATGAAAACCACACTCCTGGGCTACTTTATTTCACTGTGCCACTAACAAGTGTTACTTTGACCATAACTTTTCTATGTCCCAGTTTATCTTCTTAGAGGTGTTACAAGAACAAATTAATTATTGTCCATAAAATTATTTGATTAAGTTGCTATGGTGATGCCAATTATATTGAATTCTTATTGTAGTCAAGCTGGAGCATGACTCTAAATGTCTTTCACAGAAAAGCAACATTGGGTTAATCTTTGCCAAACTCTTTGAAAATAGTTTTGAAATTATTATACTACAGTTAAATGGGCAGAGTTCTACTAGGCTGGGCAAAATTAGGCTGCTCAGAAGTGCATCAATAACCTTAGATCGCTGTATACAATCAGTGAGCAGCCTGGTTTTAGCCATGCAGCTGCTCTGGAGTTCTACATTGCCAGAGGTGCACGAGAAATGAACCATATATTCCTAAGAGGCTGTGGACACAGGCATATGTCATAGCTAGCTACACTGGGGAAGCCAAAGAGCTGGTGTTTTCTGTTTCCTACAGTCTATTCTACATGTCTCTAACCCAAACAGATGCTAAATTCCTGGGGCTGACATCAAATACACCTTTCCTTAAAAGCTGGGGAAAACACTATAACCCTTAACAGCAAATGAAACTATGGTGATCCTTGAAATGGGTCATGGGAAACATCTGGATTGTAACATGTTGCCAAATCATTTATAGAACACTGAAAGAGTGTTTTCCAACCTTATTCAGGTGGCTTCACTGCCTCTGGTTTTCCTCCCCATTGCCTCCTTGCCCCATCACTGTCCCTCTTACCATTCCCTTCAGCAGTTCCATTGGCCCAGCCCTATTTTGAATTTTTTGCCTCTCTGCCACTTTTCTTCATCAGCCCCCTTCACTTCCCAGATTATGGTTGCTGGGTTTTTTTGTTGCTATTTCCAGATATGCCCTCAAATCCTTGCTAATGAGCCTGCTACAGTTTATTAGTGTGTGCTCAGCTTTGTGCCCCACCAGTTTTGTGCCCCAGAAAGGCTGATTTCTAATAGACCTGAAATTCAGCCAAAACACCTGTTTTAAATCTGAAGCTACATCTGATTAATGGTGCCCCCCAACCCACAGCTTTTCTAATCGTTTGCAGTAGTACGAAGCATGGAGGAAGGGCACGGATGCCAGCAGCACTGTGAACACCAAAGCACCCAGTCAGATTGCAGGCATTACAGTGGGACAGGCACCACACAAGAGTAGAAATGACACTGTTGCAAGAAAGTGACATACATAATAAATTACAGCGGTCATGCCGAGACAAGGTTTTCGGCGCTATACAATACAGATGGGGAGAAACAGCCCTGTCAGCTTGTCTGTCCTTCCAGGAGAGCTGGATGCCAGTGAAACACCGACACTTTTGGAAGCTTGTGAATGCAAGATACAGCATTTTTGCAGGAGCAGGATCCAGACTCTGGAATAACTTTTCACAAGGGAAAAGAATGTTGTTTAGGTTTGCCAGTTCGCTAAATATAGGACTCCTATCTTTGTATTAGTTTCTCTTCAGATATGTACTCCTTTCTCCTTTCATTCTCAAGCACACCCAGGCACACAAACAACAAATGAGTTATAAACTAATCAAACTTGTTTTCTTCAGGTTGGAAAGGAAAAGAGATAATATTTTGATTTCAACTTCCAAATCTTTGGGAGGTGCTCAGATATTATCTATCACAGCTCCTCACAGTAATGGTATCAAGTGGCTCCCAAGCAATTAAAAAGTGACAAACAATTAAAAAAATACGTTTTCCCATCACTTCTCTCTCCCATTTCTGCTTATGAACAAAAATAACGAGCACAATTTTTAACTGTGGGGTAAAACCATGAGGCTTCTGTGCGTAGGAAGAGCTGTAAAAAGGCTAAATTTATTTTTGGTTTTGGACCTCTAAGACCAAGGCCACTTTTTGTCCCCTTAGGAATGAGATATTTTGTCCAAATCTGGTCTCAGTGACTTCTAGAGTTGCAACCTTCCCCTGTTTGGATAGTTTCACTGTTCCTGGAGAAAGTGATGGGCATAGTCAGAGAAGAACTGAGGGAGCCTAAATTACTTAGGCCAACTCCATGGAACTTCTCCAAATAGCAACTTGAAGTGGGGTGTTGAAATCCTGGTCCTAGCTGAAGTTAGCATAAAAAATACCAGCAGTGTCAAAATTATATATCTCTGATTTACAGTATAATTTGGAATTGATACAAAAAGATGATGTATTCACAGCAATATGTGTTGCTATATCAATAGCCTATAGCAGTCTCAGTGTTTTCACGGTGCAAAGCTTTGTGCTAAAGCTGTCTTATCTCAGAGTCCGCTGCTGTATACATCAGTGATTTATTTCCCCAGCATGGATGTTTGGGACTCCAGAAGCAGTTCAGAAGGAGCCAAGAAATACAAACACAACAGTATCTTCAAAGAGCCTGGCATTATGAAGGAAGCAAGTTCTTCTACATGTGCAAGCGCTCCTTCTACAAGCAGCAATCGCATTATTTGGGTTCAGCTTTCACCAGATGTCCTTCCTCTAACACCGATTTTCCTTACACATTATAAACAGATAATCCTACTTATATATCCTGTCAAGCAGACAGAGCCGAGTATCATTTGTATACTGCTTCTGTTGAAGTTGCCTAATAAATATTTCAGTGGCTTCATGGATGAGGGACAGTTCCAAGACAACTTCTCAGGAGGCACTTCTGGGAGAGGAATAACATTTGTCCGCTGTAATCCTGTGGTTTCGCTGTATTATTCGCTGCTGTGTGTTTGGGAAGGAGGAGAAGAGCCCTGTTTTAACAAGTAATGAAAGTTGCAGATAGCTGGGAGGCTGTGACTGCACCTTGGCAATGCAGGGCAGGAGGTAACGACTCCAGGAGCTGTTCCTTGTTGTCTGCCACTGCATCTGGGTCGTATAGGTACCAGGCTTACAGAGGGCATGTTAAGGGACAGTTAGCTGACTTTTATGAACAGAAACTTTAAGTAACTTCATACAAAATCCTAAGAAGCCAAGGACAGAGCCACCGACTAAGTCCAAGAGCCCTGAGAAGCATTTAGCTGAGTAACAGAACAGTGGGAGGCTAATCACGAAAGACCTGAAAACCACCATTTTTTTTTTTTTTACGCTTGCTGCGATGCACGTTCGGGAAGTTTTTGGCAAGCTTCCAAATAAAAGTAAGTCTGAGGAGAAGCAAAGATCGCAGCAACCGCGCGGCTCCAAACTCCTCGATGCCCCTGACCGGACTCTTCCTTTACTCTTCACATTGCCTAAAGGCGACACTGAAGGAGTTCCCACAAAACTCTCCAAGCTGAGAAACACAAAAAAATTCCTTCGGGGGTCGGGGGGGGTGGGGGAAGACACCCCACTTGCTGCACGAGTTTTTTACACAGCGCCTTGACCCGCCCCGCTGAACCCAAACAGGGGCCCACCAGCCCTCCCCACTCACCCACCCACCGCTGCCTGCCCACGGGGAAGGGATTTCCCTCATATCCCTCAGGTTTTGGCGGGCCGTGCCTGCCCTCCTCCCCTGAGGAGAACGACCTCCCATCGATACCCCGGCCGCCACACCCGCGCGGGGGCTCGCGCGCGGCACCACGTGACTTCCCCCCTCCCCAGCTCGCCGCCGCCGCCGCCTTCTTGTTGCACCGCGGAGCTTCCCGCGGGGAGCGTGTCACGTGGGCGGGGCGCCGGGGGTCACGTGATGCGGGGCGGCCCGGCAAGATCCGAGGAGGAGCTCCGCCGCCGCCATTTTCCTTGCGGCGCCCAGTGTGTGTCCCCCTGTCCCCGGCCGAGCGGAAGGCGCGCAGGGGGGAGGGGACGGCGGCTGGGGGAGGGGG